CCCACCCCACGCCCCCCAACCTCCAGCAGCAGCAGCAGCAGCAGCAGCAGCAGCAGCAGCGGCAGCAGCAGCAGCAGCAGCAGCAGACTAAACGCACGGCCTGGTCCGCGGGGGTGGTGGGGAGGTTTTTGTTGAAGTTGCCGCACTCGACGTTAACTATGGAGCCTTTGTAGCCGAAGGCCGCGGCCTGCGGCTCCCAGTAGCAGCAGTTGGCCCCAGTGCCCAGGATGACCCCCACAGTGCAGGGGGGGGACCCGGGGCTCTTTTGGTACGCGCACGACAGCAAAGTCCCCACCTGCAGACAAACCCTAAACCCTAAACCCTAAACCCTAAACCCTAAACCCTCGCCGCCCCTGCGCGCGCCGACCCCGCGAAAAACCAGCCCTTCACACGCCGAAACGGCCGCAAACCACGCGAAAAACCCAAACCCTCCCAAACCCTAAACCCTCCCAAACCCTAAACCCTCGGAAACCCTAAACCCTAGCGGCCTCTGCGGCCGCTCAAAACGACAAAACTGCGCCGCTGCGCCGCCGAAACGGCCCCAAACGCCCACAAGCCGCCGAATGCCCCCACCGCCCAGGCAAACCCCAAACCCTAAACCCTAAACCCCAAACCCTAAACCCTAAACCCTAAACCCTCACCGTGTCGTTGACCACGGCCTCGCACTCCAGGCCCAGGCCCTGCCGCTCGAAGGCCGCGGCCAAAAGGGGCACCACGTCTTTGCCGACGACGGGGTCGTCAGTGTCGTGGCCCGTGGCGAAGCCCTTCGTCCAGGACTCGAGGACGCTGTTGTTGAGACTCTGCAGCAGAAACGGCGAATTTAAATGCAGAAAAGTCGAAAAAGAAACAAAATGATCCAAAAAGATGCAAAAAAAATTCAAAAAGATGCAAAAAAGATTCAAAAAGATGCAAAAAAGATGCAAAAAAGATTCAAAAAGATGCAAAAAGATGCAAAAGTGAAGGGCAATGTTGAGGGCAACTGGGGTGTACAGACAGCTGCGTACTTGCTGGGCGCAGGGGAACGAAAAGGTGAATCCCAGTTTTGCTTTTTTGTTTTTCAGAATTTCTTTTTCGTTATTTTCTTCCACCAATTCTCCCACGCAGTTCGCGAGCACGTCGAAGAGCTGCGAAGCCGAAGTTTCGCGGGCCATGAGGTCGATCTCGCCGCCGCACTCGTAGAGGCTGCGGAAAACGAAAAAATAAAAAAGTGGAATCTCAAGATGATAATCCCCTCATTGAATTGCAAATTAAAAAAGAAGCTGAATTATGTTTTAATTTTTGAATTTCCTCCGCAGCTTCGCCGCAAATCGCACTCATCACCCATAGCGGCTGCGGAAAACAAAAAAATAAAAAAGTGGAATCTCAAGATGATAATCCCCTCATTGAATTGCAAATTAAAAAAGATGCACAAATCTGTTTTTATTTTCCAATTTCCACCGCGGCTTCCCCGCAGATCGCCCCTTTCACCCATACAGGCTGCGGAACATGAAAAGAAAAAAAGTGGAATCTCGCGGAGATAAGCCCCTCATTGAATTGCAAATTAAAAACCAAACAGAAATATGTTTTAACTTTTGAATTTCCTCCGCAGCTTTCCCGCAAATCGCACTCATCACCCACACAGGCTGCGGAACATGAAAAGAAAAAAAAAGTGGAATATCCTGACGATAAGCCCCTCATTGGATTGCAAATTGCAAAACAAACAGAACTATGTTTTTAATTTTGAATTTCCTCCTCAGTTTTTTCTTAAATCGCACTTTTTCAAGAACTGCTGCGCCTGGATGCGGCCGCCACCCAGCAGTTCGCAGCGGACGGCGCGGACGTTCGTGCCGCCGAAGTCGAGTGCGTAGAAAACGCCCTTTTCGTGGCCGGAGGGAATTGCGGAGACGCAGGAGTCCAGCATTCGCAAGGAGCACTCCTCGGGCACCCACTGCAGCCCGTGACGCTTGTGCATCTCCAGCCCCTGCAGCAGCAGCAGCAGCAGCAGCAGCAGCAGCAGCAGCAGCAGCAGCAGCAGCGGCAGCGGCAGCGGCAGCGGGGGAGGCAGCAGGTGGAAGCAGGTGGAAGCAGCGACGCTCGGTCGGGCGGAAGGCGGGGCGCGCAGCAGCAGCGGCAGCAGCAGCAGCGGCGGGAGAAGGGGCGGGGGAGGGAAACCCTAAACCCTAAACCCTAAACCCTCGCGCAGACCCACTCGGAGGAGCTCATCGCTGAAGGTCTTGCTCAGCTCCTGGAGCTTCTCCTTTGAAAGCCGCAGGGGGGCGAGCACTTGCTGCAGCAGCAACACAGGCAAGCGGCGGCGAGCTGCAGCAGCAGCAGCAGCAGCAGCGGCAGCAGTTTCCCCGCTGCAGCAGCAGCAGCAGCAACTGCTGCTGCAAAGACACCAAGCGCTGCAGTGGGGCGGAGTACCTCAGCTTTCTGCTCGAGGGAGATGTTCGCCATCGTGGGGGAGAAGTTCGGGACTTTTTGCTGCAAAGGTCCGCCGGATTTCGAAACGAATCAAAGATTGGAACTTTTCCGCTGTTCCAATTGCTGCTGCTGCTGCTGCTGCTGCTGCTGCTGCACTGTCTCGCTTGGGGCTGCTGCGCGGCTGCTGAGGGGTTCCTCTTTGCTGCTCAGCAGCAGCAGCGCAGCACCTGCTGCGGAAGCTCTTGGGCTCTTTTCGCCAATTAAATCCGAAAAAATAAAAAAATAAAATAAAAATAATCGGAAAATACCTTTTTTCGCCAAGTCGAGGTGTATCTTGGTTCAGGTTTCCGCAGCTTTCCACTTCGCGCTCTCGAGGCGGCGCCGCTGTGGCGCTCGCGCGCAGGCGCCGAAACGCGGGGCAAAGGATCGATTTAAGTTTTATTTTCGTTTTCAAAAAGTGTTTTCTTTCTTTTGTTGCAAAATAGTTCTTTTGAATTTCAAAATTTGCAGCTTTCCGCCGGCGCGCGCGCGCAGCCAGTCTCGGGTGTCTAGACAGCACCCGCGCAAACCGGCGCGGGTGCGTTTTCTTGTCTTCCGCCCGCGCCGTCTTCACTTCTCGAAAACAATTGCAAAACAAAAAGCATTTCTGCATTTAAATCGAACTTGGCGCGAAAAAGGCGTCTATTTGGGGGTTTGCGCGCGGACACTCGCGAGCCAGCAGCAGCTGCTGCCGCGCCGCAGCAGCAGAACCTCCACGAAGTTCAACTTCGCCTTTTCGCGAAAACCCCAACTTATAAACTCAACTAATCCATTTCTTTCGATTTATTTCGCTTTTCTGCTGCCCGCAGCCCCCGCGGCCGCCGGGCGGCGCGGCGGCTGCGGGCGGCGTCGATTCGCCGCAAACCCTAAACCCTAAACCCTAAACCCTACCCGCCGAACCCGCCAAACCCTAGCCCCAAACCCTAGCTACGCGCTGCTGCTGTCTTTCGCTGTTCAAAACCCTAAACCCTCGCCAACTTTAATAAATCTGAATTCGCAAAAAGGCGAAACGCCAAAATGCAAAAGTGCTGCATGCGCTGCACGAAGTTGGGGTGTACGTACACCCCAACCTGCTGCTAGGAACTCTACACTGGCTGGGAAACGGGCTGCAGCCGAGCTGGAGCCTCCGCACAAACCCTAAACCCTAAAACAGGGTTTGGCGGGCGCCTGTCCGCGCGTCCGGGCCGCGCGCGCGGCGCCGGGCGCAAACCCTTTTTTAGGGTTTAGGGTTTAGGGTTTGCAGCTTCTCGTCGAGCCGCTGCTTCCAGGGGAGCTTGGAGGCGTCCTCGAAGGTGTCTTTGACTGCTGTGGCTGCGGTGTCTATACACCGCAGCAGCGCAGCAACAGACAGTTCAACTTCTTTTTGAGAATGTTTAAATCTATCTTTTATATCAATCCACTCTTCTGCTGCTGCTGCTGCTGCTGCTGCTGCTGCAGCAGCACAGGGTTTGCAGTGGCAGCTGCGCTGCTGCAGCAGCTGCTGCTGCTGCTCCAGCTGCTCGCGCACCGTTTGCCCCTGCAGAGCTTCCCGCTGCAGCAGCAGCTCCTCCCGCTGCTGCAGCAGCAGCAGCAGCAGCAGCAGCTGCAGCAGCACCACCAACCACCCCACAACTCGAGTCGAAAACAGCAGCCACTTTGCTGCTGCCCACACTTCGGGGAGCCGCGATCTTGCTGCTCGTTTCGGTGCTGCTGCTGCTGGAGTTATTGCTGCTGCTGCTGCTGCTGGAGTTATTGCTGCTGCTGCTGCTGCTGGAGTTATTGCTGCTGCTGCTGCTGCTGCTGCTGCTGAGAAGCTGCCCGCGCCGTCCGCAGAACCTGCTGTGGTTTCTCTCTCCAGAATATTGGCGAGCTGCAGGTTGCTTTTGCTGCTGCTGCTGCTGCTGTTGCTGCTGCTTCTGTTGCTGCTGCTGCTGGTCGAGCCACACGACTCCGTCGGCAGCGACTGCAGCGTCGCCAGCGCCCTGCTTGCTGCTGCTGCTGCTGCTGCTGCTGCTGCTGCTTCTGTTGCTGCTGCTACCTGCTGCTGCTTGTTGCTGCTAGGCGCCCCTTCATTCCTGCGGGGACGCCGGCGCAAGAAGAAAGCCCGGTGGGGTCCTGCAGCAGCAGCAGCAGCAGCAGCAGGAGATAGGAAGGCAGCAGCAGCAGCTGAGGCTTGCCCAGGAGCAGCAGCAGCTGCTGCAGCAGCAGCAGCAGACAATCCTCAGCAAAAATGGTAAAAGAAGCGGCTTCAGCAGCAGCAGCAGCGCGGAAAACACAAGTGACAGCAGCAGCAGCAAACACGAGCAGCAGCAGACGAGCAGCAGCAGCAACACAGGAAGCTGGAGAGAGCCGAGAGGCGCCTTTGGGCGGAGAAGAGCTGAGATAGGGTTTAGGGTTTAGGGTTTAGGGTTTAGGGTTTAGGGTTTAGGGTTTTGCGGTGTCTGCACACCCCGCTCCGAGGGAGGCGTCGGCGGCGCCTCCGACATTCTGCAGAAGCGCAGCAGCAAAAACTTTGCAAAAAAGAAAATAAAAAACAAAAAGAAGTTCAAAAATAATTAAAAATAAATAAAAGAAAAGAAATGAAGAATTTGCTGCTGCTGGCGCCGCCAGCCCCAGCCTGAGGTGTCTGTACACCTCACACCGCAGCAACCGCCAAAACCCACTTCCCGATTTAGACAAAACTTTCTAATTTGCGCAGCAGCAGCAGCAGCAGCAACCCGCAGCTCACGTGCTGCTGCTGCTGCTGCTGCTGCTGCGAAGCCCCAGCAGCAGCGGCAGCAGCAGCTGCTGCTGCTGCTGCTGCTGCTGCGGCCGCGGCCTCCTGCAGTGTCTCGACACATCAGCAGCAACGTGCTGTCGCAAATGAATTTTTATTTGTGGCTTCTGGGGGTAGGCTTGTTTACCCCTTCACTGCAGCAGCAGCAGCAGCAGCAGCAGCAGCAGCAGCCGTAGAGTTGTCGCAGCAGCAGCAGCAGCAGCGTAGTTGGAGCAGCAGCAGCAGCAGCAGCAGCAGCGGTAGAGCAGCAGCAGCAACCCGCCGTCAATAGTACTGCCCTCTTCCCTCCTGGGGGCGTTCGCTCTTCTGTGCGCCAGCAGCAGCAGCAGCAGCAGCAGCAGCAGCAGCAGCAGAGGAGCTCGCGGCCGCTCCAGTGTTTGCTGCTGAGCTGGTTACAGCTGCTGCCAAGCCCGGAGCAGCACGAAGAGCAGCAGCAGCAGCAGCAGCAGCAGCAGCAGCAGCAGCAGCAGCAGGAACAATGGAAGACACGGACAGCAGCTCGGAGGTGTCTGTGGGCTCCTCGCCGTCAAACGCCCGCAGCAGCAGCAGCAGCAGCAGCAGCAGCAGGCGGAACAGCAGCCACAGCAACAGCAGCAGCAACAGCAACAGCAACAACAGCAGCAGCAGCAGCAAACGCACCTTGGGGATGGTCTTGACGGGCACGCTGGAAGCAGCAGCAGCAGCCCTCGAAAGGGAACCAGCAGCAGCAGCAGCAGCAGCAGCAGCAGCAGCAGCAGCAGCAGCAGCAGCAGCAGATAAAGTCCCCCAATATGAAACCCCAGGGGATTTGTCCAATTTGACGGAGCAGCAAATTGCCATGCTGACAAATTTGTCCCAAAGACAAACCCTTGAAGGTAAGCATGTGCTGCTGCTGCTGCTGCTGCTGCTGCTGCTGCTGCAGTTAGTGATGCTGCTGCTGCTGATTAAGATGCTGTTGCTGCTGCTGCTGCTGCTGCTGGCAGAGCTGCTGCTGCTGCTGCTGGTAGTGCTCCTCCCCCCAGCACGAATGTTGGCGCTGTGTTCCAGGGGCTGCTGCTGCTGCAAATCTTTTGCTGCTGCTGCTGCTGCTGCTGCTGTTGCTGCTGCTGTTGCTGCTGCTGTTTGAGGTGCTTAGTTCAGCAGAAGCTTTCGACTTCAGCAGCACAAACGCACGAAGCAGCAGCAGCAGCAGAAAGTTCCAGACAGCTACAACACCCAGCAGCAGCATAGCAGCAGCAGCAGCAGCACCAGCAGCGCAGCAGCAGCAGCAGCAGCAGCAGCAGCAGCAGCAGCAGCAGCGCGTTTGTTTGTGTGCGCAGAGGCGGGCGAGCGGCTGCTGCAGCAAATGGACTTCGAGCAGCAGTCTTGCTTCTTCCGCGCGGTTTTCGAAATCGGAAGAAGATACAAAACCCTAAACCCTGAGCGCATGCATTCGACTTACGGGAAATTAATTTATTTGTTGATGGACAGTTCCAAACCCGAGATTCAGCAGCTCCTCAACTTCAGCCTCGTCGCCCCAGGCAAACCCTAAACCCTAAACCCTAAACCCTAAACCCTAGCTTCGCAGCCGCGCGCGCTGCAGCCGCCGGCGACGCGGGACACACGCCCTAGGCGGGGGGTGCGGGAATTAGGGTTTAGGGTTTGCCGGGAGGCTTTGGGGTTACGGGCTAGGGGCTAGGGTTTAGGGTTTAGGGTTTAGGGTTTAGGGTTTAGGGTTTGTCGCGCAGTGCATACGGTTTACTCGCTTCTTGCTTCAAAGAAGAACGGCCTCGCTCTTCTGAAGGACCCCCTTGTGAAGGTTGCCACTCGAGGTAAACCCTAAACCCTAAACCCTAAACCCTCGAGAGAACGGGTCTATTCAGCGCCGGTCGCTTGTGGTGAGGGTTTAGGGTTTAGGGTTTAGGGTTTAGGGTTTTCAAGGCGTCGGAGTGCCGCTGCGGCGGCTCTCTTGAGTGCTTCCCTGCAGCGCAGCGGGAGCAAACTAGGGTTTAGGGTTTAGGGTTTAGGGTTTAGGGTTTAGGGTTTGGGTTTCAGAAATAATGGCTGAGGGAAAAAGCCGCGCCCAAGTTGATCAAGAAATAAAAGAAAAAGAAGCAGCAAGAAAAACCCTCATTGCAAAATACGCAGCAAATCAAAACCACAAAAATAAAGCCCTCTTCGGACTCCGTAAGCAGGGTTTAGGGTTTAGGGTTTAGGGTTTAGGGTTTAGGGTTTAGGGTTTGGGTTTCAGAAATAATGGCTGCGGCTAAATAAATAAATAACAAAAAATAAAAGAATAATAAATGAATAAATAAAATCATAAATAAATAATAAATAATAAACTA